ACTCTGCTGGAACAAATAATGGCACGTTGGGAGTGGCCACGTATCCCGAGGGTGCGACCGCCGGAACACCATTCCCATTATGACCGCCAGGTACAATGAAGTTTGGAAATCCCTGGAACCCTTGGCCCGGTCCGCGACCTGGGAACGCCGGGGGGGCGTTTGGCGGTGTCGCCGCTGTCATCGACGCCGTAGGGGCCCCGGCAGGAACTGCTGCCGACCCCCCTGCCATGTTGGGTACAGCCGACCAGCCCCATAACTGGTCAAACTCGAGCTCTCCGTCGGCCGTGTCCGAGTCGCCGCTCATCCTGACGCTCTGTTCGCTCTGAGACATGCCGGGAGTGCTCTCTGCAGGTGAGTGGCCTGCGTGAGGGCCTGTCGGCGTTGAAAAACTGTGTTCCGTCTTCATGGAAGGCGGCGGCGGAGCCATCGTCTTGACCGCGACCGCAGACGGTCCCGAGGTAATAGTTGCAAATGAGTTTTTCCGCGATACCCTGGAAGATGGGAAGATGGTGCGAATTGGGTCTTGAATTGATGTTGGCGATAACGTTGGAGGAGCGGACATGGCCGGCTGCTCCGTTTTCTTTTGCCGGAGCTCGTAGATAACGTTGCGGAATGATGTAATAATAAAGAGCAGACGGTTAGCTTGTGGGTCACTGGCGGCGCAGTAACGCATGATGGCGATCGTGTTGGAAATCGAGGTTTCATAGCCCGGGTTGGGGTACACCGCCGCGAACTCGTTGCTGAGAATGATGAGGGATGCTGCAAAGAGGAAGTAGCTGCGGATAATGTCAGTAAGACAGACGGGCTTGTATGGTTTGGGGGCTTACTAACAGAACAAAGGGATTGCGTTGTGGGAGGTAGTTGCTCTCGTATGCCTTTTGCACAAGACTGATCGTCTGGCTGGATGCATGCAGACATGCCTCACAGTACCTCGACATGCGGTTGATCCAGCGAGGGACCGGTAAGTTGAGACCGCTTCGCTCTCCGTGTACTTTGCTTAGCAGGCATAGAAAGAACGGCCGAGTCAGTAACAGTATCGAGTGGCAGTAGAGCAGGTTAACGTGGAGCGCTGCAATGCCTTGTGCCGGATGGCTGGGATCGGCCGCGACTTTCCCTCCGGCCAAGTCCGAGCTTAGTGTAGAGTACCAGCTGCTGCACCGTTCCCAAATCTCTTGGGCCAGGCGAACCGATATTCGTCGCCGAGCATATATCTTCTTAAGAATTTGTCCGATGATCCGACAAGACCGCACGGCGGCGTCAAGTCCGTCGTTCGGGTCCGTGACGCGAACCAATTGCCCCTGAGCGTTCTTCTCGAACACCAATAGGGCTTCCGCAGAACATTCCTCCTCGTCGATGGCGACTGGACGGCCAAGCGAAGCAGCAAGAAATCGGTCAAGAACGAACAGGCTTCTCCAGAGGTTCCGTCGAAGTCTGATCTCGTGGCTATTGAAGATGAAATGGTTCTCTTGGACCCTGTGCAGACCGAGGGCAAAGCCGGATCGGACGGCCATTCCTGGAGCAGAAGGTCAGACAACTAGGTTCTTCATGAACTCGTGAAGGTATGGTCGTACCAAAGTAAGCATAAGCCGCATTGCGCTTTGACACCGCGAGCATGTAGACGGCCATCAACAACAATGCCTGCACAGACCAGAAGTCGGCATCTTCGAACCCCGTGATAGGGTCACCGAGGGCTTTTGCGCTTCGGAAAAAGAGCTCCGCGCGGTCATACTCGCTCGCGCGGAGCTTCTTGAAGATCGCGTCTTGCTTGCTGCCAGGAAGCGGCGTGCCAAGAACTGTGCCAATGGCAAAAGTCAAATACAACAAGCAGAGAAAAGAGGACTGTGCTGCCAAGGGATCCGAGTAGCATGTTTCGAGAGACTTCTCAAAGGCTGCCCTATTGAAAACCTCAATCAGTCCGCGAGTCTGCGAAAGTTAGAAAACGAACGTCCATCTCCCCATGGCACGAAAAGGGGTCACCTGCGTTTGTGAAAAATGAATCAACCATGGCGTTGGCTGTGTCTCTATCAGGCAGGATGTGCGGAGGGCGTATGTTTGCCGGCATTGTGATGGTAGCCTCCATAATCTTGTGGCGGCTGGGGTCCAAGGTGAAGTCGCTGGGGCCAACGCTCGCCTCAACAATCATCCGTATGAGCTGCAAGTACGCCAGCGACGCCGAGTCGCCCACATAGACTATACACATAGTTAGCAAATTTGAGCTATGAGATGCCCGGAGAAGGCACTATACGAAGTCTGCCCGTGGGGTCCTGTAACATCCTGGTCGACTGTATGAGCGAGGTTTCCTCGTCCGGGCCCGATGCTGTGCTATGCCTCGAGCGGATGTCGAACTCTCGGTCCGCTGCTGTCGCTTCGTGGTCATTTTCGATAGAAGGCTGTATGTCAAAACCGACGGTTGTGTTATCTTCGTTAGCCGGTTGCTGCGACTTGGACTCCCATGGCGTCGTGGCCGCTGCGGGACTCGCGGATGCGAGAGAGCCTTCAGGGGCCACCGGAGTCGCGGTGGGCGGCTCTTCAATATTGCGACGCTTGGAGGGAGACGCTATTTGGTCCGGGAGAGCCTGCTCGGAGCCGTTGCTTGTGGTGTAGGTACACACCAGGCTCCTCTTGGTACATGTGGCACATGGGCGAGAACCATTACACTTTGGAAGTATTGATCAGTCCATGAACGAAACTTGGCGGTGGATGCGTTGACAGGATCGGGTAAGGTCTGAGGAAAATAGGTAATCGTCAAGCACTTGCCGAGCCTGAGGTCTTTCACCGCATTCGGGATACGGTGCCCACAAGACCGGCATGACAGAACCCCGTTGTAGGACGAGACTGGGGCTCTCTACGGGACAAACCCATTGTCCTGACAAGGATGTGGCCGGATCGTCGGGTTGCCCACTGGGGCATGTCCTTTCGAGGGCCATCCTGGGTATTGAAGAAGACGCCCCGTTTATAGGGAGGGTCCAGTGGTTCTTGCGAATTATGATGCGAAGAACATTTACCAGACCGATAGTGCGTACTGGGATACCTGCCACATCCACTTGAGATAGGTCAACTTGGTTGGCAGCGTGATGTTGACAATCAGGGTAACGAAGGGAAGGTCTATAAGCAGGCACGACTAAGATGGATCAACGTCGGGGTTCTAAGCCCAAGATGATCGTAGTGGGAGGTAATAAATCCGTCGATATCCGGACGTTTGCCCAATAGCGTGACAACAAGGAGGACTAAAGTCGGGAAACATGATCGGGACGATGAGCGGGTAGGAAGTCTTCGTCCGTGATTGCTGATATGTGCTTGTGTTTGGCCCTTCAGGCAACTAGCCAAGCACGGCACAGGGGAATAGCGGGCAGCAGGCGGGATTATTAGACAGGGTCTCGATACATCGAGGAGAAGAGTGAGAAGCAAGCAAGCAAAAGGCTTCCAAGACGACAGTTCAGATAGGAGGGGATGGGGAGGGGGGAAAGAGCAAGCAAGCTGAGAAAAGGGAAAGGCTCACCTTCTGCTTTCTGCGCTTACAGGTGTCACAGGCCTGGGCGGTCCGTTGGCGTTTGTCGTCTGGGACCTTGGGTCTGGTCATTGTCGAAGACGATGATGCATCGGCTGACAGTCCATGGACCCCTGGCAATACCCACTATCCGATGAGGCAGCGGAGGTAGAGTTGGGGTTTGGGGCGGATGAGGGCGGGAGAGGGCGGAGGTGGAAGCCGCGACGAGGGTACACGGATGACTGCAAAAGGTATACCGGAGGGTGGACTACAGAGTGGCGGATAGCAGGCACCGGGTACAGATGCGCATGCTTTCCTCTCACTTCAGGGCGCGATATGCGTGGGTTGCAGCAAGAGGGTCGGGCGGATGCCGCAGCCGCAGATAGTGTTCCGTGCTCTGATCCGAAGCGGAAGACTAGTACCTAGGGGTCGACTCTTTGGGCAAGGTTTTCTGTCATGCTCCGAGGACGGGACAAGCAAACTGGCCTGGCGATGGCGGGTGACGAGGATAACTGCAGGTGGGGAAGCTTGAGCTTCGGGTATGGGGGTGGTTACTTTAAAGAGTAATCAAGGTACGCGATAATGATATGTGACGTGGGGAGATGCAGGTTTGTACGCTGGTCTGCTGCTGCGGGCGAGCGAGAGGGGAGGGATGGGAGGGGAAGGGTTGGGATAGGACAGGATGGACCGCCGTTGCGGTAGCGGAGGTCGGCGAAGGCGGGGAACAGACGTTAGGGAGAAGAGGCGAGGAGAAATGCCACGAGGATGAAGAAAGGACAGAGAAGAGCCTGGCGGGGAGAGGGAGAGAGAGGGAACAGTGAGACTTTGATCGGATATGGGACAAGTGGCTAGGCCGGCCCACGCAGAAGTCAGAAGAGGCCCGCGATTGGGCAAGCATGCACTCACTTGTCACGCCTTACGGAGAGGCAGGCCAGGTAGAAGGAAAGGGGGGTTGGGAACTTTGGGGGAGAGTCAATATTGACCAGAGGAGCCACCTTCGGGCTTAGCAACGTAGACAAGGAAGGGTCGTGGAGTCAGGCTCTCAAGGCGAGCTCGAGTCGTGCAACCGCAATGACATGCGATGCCGAGTGGGGGCTAAGAGCGTCCAGGATGCAGACCGGGTGGAGGAGGAGAATCGAGCAAGGGGGGTGTGTGTGTGTGGGCAAGGCATTGAAGCTAGGACCGCATTGTACGATTGTAGGGCAAGGGGGTCGTCGAATGTGATGGGCAATCAGCAACCCCCCCAATAGACTTTGATGTGAGTGGGTTTGGAGCAGCCTGCGGGTCGATCTTTGAGGAATTCGAAAGAGGGCTCGATTCAAGTCAAGGGGTGTGGGTGGCTTGTTTCTGTTTAGGTACCTAGTAGTCCCTGGCCCCGAGCCTTGCGAAGAACAGATGTGTGAGGCGAGGCCCGAAATGTCCGTTCCAGCAGGTGATAGATCAGACACAAGCCCAGTCCCAGGTCCAACCCGGGGAGTGTTTTCTTTTTCTTTCTTTTTTTGCGGTTTGGCATGCCAGAGTAGAGGCCAAGATACGCCCGCACGCGGTAGGTCCCGGTCTAGAAGGCGGCCGTGACGGCGCCACCGATTCTCCCATCTGGAGAGAGAACGGATACACAAGGACGATGTCTCAATCGCCCAATCGTCTGTGGCCGCTCGAGAGTCTCTGAGGGCAAAATCTCACAATGTTCAATGGGCGACAGAAAGAGAGGGGGAGAGAAAGGAGGAGCAAGCAATCAGGGGCTGCTTTCCTGCCGCATTCCGTTCCATCGCAACCGTGGCCTTGGCTGGGAGGATGGTGGGCCGTGACTTGGTGTATTCGCCTGCTGGGAGTGTGCTCTGTGGTTATTGATGAACGTACCTGTGGTTCGACGAGTGGACATTATGTTGACTGACGTGAATTGACAGGCACGTGGAGCAGGATGCTATCGGTCAGAGCTGCGACTAGCAACCTGTAGCACAGCCGTTGCATTCGATGGGCTGCCATCTCCTTCAACAGGTTGCAGCTGGAATCGTCAAGGCTGCCCTTGGATTGGCTGCTAGCTTGTGTCAGGCATAGTTTTGTGTGCGAAAGCCTATGTACGTGATGTGTACGTGGGTACGACATGACGAGGCGGCAGCGGGTGATGATCTCCAATGTTTGATGGAGGGTGCAAGGGTAGCTTCGTCCCGTACCGCTGACAGACTTTTCGCGGCCCAGGTTAGACCCACGGCGCTGGTGGGGAGCTCTGGAAAGCTCCAGAGAGCTCATGCATGAGCATGACCTCGATCGTGGTGCTGAATCAAATTACCTACCCTGCTAGGTTGCAAGCCACAGCGCTGCCGCTAGCTTAACAAAGAAAAGAAAGACTGCCCGAGACATCTGGTATATGATGGCGTTTGGTACCCACTTTCCACTGCTTCCCCAGGTAACACCTGGGTATGACAGGTGAAGCTGAGAGGGGATTGAGGATGCCGAAGGTGTGGCGGCCACGCTTCGGCCGATCTCTTTGGCTAGGCTGTGCTGGAATCCTGCTGGGCGCTTGGCGGGAGTGAGTGAACACAAAAGACGGGCGAGGGTAGGCTGATCAAAGCGCGAGGAAGCCCAGAACCCACCACCCCCTATGCTTGGTTATTGATCGGAAGTATTTATTTCTCCTCGGGGTCGGCGGGTTCTCGATCCAGGCGCGCATTTCGACTGGAACGTTTCCAACAGAACGGTACGCAAGGTATCCATGTTGCTTGAGCTGATGGCCGCGTCTGACAGGGCCTGGTCCGTTGGCGGCAAATTCCTCGATCATTGTGTATCGGCCGGGCTTATTTTCGTTTGGTAAAGGCTCACGAGGAGTCGACTTGCCGCGGTTGGTCTGCGATGGCGAAATTTGCATCGACACTGTGGAAGTCAAGAACTCCGGAGGACTTCCAGCGTACTATGCAGAGACGCATAATGTAATGCGTAAGGATGCACAACGAGGTGCAGAGCTGGTGGGAATGGCGACGTGTATGTTGTATGTAGACAACAATAGGTAGGTAGGCAGGCATGATACAAATGCAATGCACCCTCTTTTCGATCGTCCGTGGTATTAGGAAGGTGCTTGGAAGTAAATATCATGACTACCTGAACAGTGACGGACGCCTAGGCACCCTCTCCTTTTCCTAACTCGCACCTTCCTCTCACGGACTCTTACAGTGTTGGCCGGGTTTCTTCTCCGGGAGCAGAGCCGGGTCAGAAGGTCCAATTCAGGACCTTGAAGAAGTGCAACGCCACCTAACCCGGTCCCGGTGCAATCGCGATTGGCTGACTTGCCGTTCAGGGTTTTGTTTCCGCCTTATCCCTCTCCACTACAGAGTACAACGCGAATATCGCCGAGCACATACCTAGGCAGGTACTTTTATCTTAATCCTCGTCGCCGTCAAACCCCACAACTGTTTATCGTCGGATAGCGCACCAATTCAAGAAGTCAAACATGAATCGCAACGCACCAGACCGGGGTCACGTTTACGCAAAGGCTGCATGGTGGGAAACGGCGTGTTGGCATGTTTTCCGCTGTTTAACCGAGCACATCATCCTATTTGTTCTCCTCAACCTCGCACCCCAATCCAATGTCCTGTGCGCCCGTCCTTCGTTGCTATACATGCCTATTCCGTCACTCTCATCACTTTTCTCCGTGCCAGATGCTCTGCCGGGCAACTTCGCTCTATGCCCTGCCGCTCTTATGCATGTGAGCGGCACCCGCAACAAGGGCAGAGATTGGTTGAAGCCTGATCCAACGTTGACCTTGCCATAACCGCAAAAGCACCCAGTCTAGGACTTGCAGCTATGGTTGAAATACCCTCGTGGACAAGGGCTCTAGCATATTTTTTTCTAATACCGCAAACAACGGCCATCGGATCGGATGTTGCACCCGCCGACTTTCGTCGTCGGTCAACTGCCGCTTCCGGCGCTCTTCGTTCGGACCCAGCACGCAAGACATTGCCCTTCTTTGCGGATATACAATAATTGGCCGACATCAAGGCAGTGGCAACTCGATGGCATCGCATGTCATTGGCGCTAGATTGCCCTCGCCATTTACCCAATGACAGCGATGAGGCCGACTTGCCCCGACATTGACCAAGCGTCTTTTGTCATGGTCTTTGTCTTCCAGTTGTGTCCTTGATGAAGCTGGCTAAGGAACCCGCCTGAATTGGTGTTCCGTGCCCCCCTACCCTGCAGGTTCCGCGTCCATGGTGCCAGATAATACGATGTACCTAACCCCCTCTTTCTTCAACGTCCCACCTGCGTTGCGTCACCGTATCCTCGACTACGGCTGAAGTGCATCCGGGCGACTACATGTCGCTCGCACCCAATTCCTGTCCCGTTTACATGAGCGCCTTTTCCGCTACCAAATGTCCCGCCGCCGCTGTCCCTATTCATAACCGCTAGGAATCCAGGCATCTTCCGGGCTGGTTGCAAGACCATCCTAGTACGGATGACGGCAAATCAGAAAGTACGTTTGATCCAACGTGGCCGACAAGCTGCCCGTCCCTTTCACTCACCCTTGCGCTTCCTGCTTCCCGCCTCCCGCTCCCGAGCCTGTTTAGTTCGACGGGGTTGCTTGTCCATAGTTCCACAATCTTCAACTTTCATTTTGTCTTGGTGGAGAGATCAACATACAACAGCCGGCCGGCTATCTAGAGAGCCGCTCGCCTGTGTCTTTCGATGCATGTATATTTATATATACTTTGGCCATGTGTACTATGTAGAGTGGCTGTCGGAAACTTTGCCAATATTCGCTCTCTCTAATTTGATCACGACCTCGGACCAAAAATGGTCCTCAGGAGACCTGGCTCTCAAAGGGCTACGGCAAGCTATTCTGTCAAGGAAGGGTCCGAGAATGCGTTGGCTGCACTCATCGCCGCATGCCAACAACAACTCCCACCTGAATTTGTCGAGCATTTGCGAAACGTCGTTTTCACCGCGCCACAGGGCGACGTACCTTACTTCCCATGCCCCCTCAAAGAACAGGAGGCGACAGCCTCTATTAAAGCCCTCGAAGGCATGGCGGCCGCCGCCTTGTCGGATCTTCGGCACGGGCCTCAAGCCCAGAGGCATATCGAGGTCGACATGGCTCGTACCGCGTGCTTCTTGATGTCGGCCTACCTCACAACAGTCGACGGCATGGATAAAGGTCACCCCAACGTGAAGTCCAAAATCCCAGGTACGTGGGACACGGCTCGGACAGCAAACCTCTAGCTTACATGTCATAGATACCGACTTGAACCAGGCGCAGTCCATCCTATACAGGCGCCTCTCAGCAAACCTCTATGAAACCAAGGTTGCCGGCGAATACTATCACCTCCATGGGTCACTCGAGGCTTCCAGGGCTTTGAACATGATCGGCCTGCCCGCTTTCAACCCAGAGCTCCAGGGCTACAGCGAGTGTATCCAAACAATCGAGACCGCAATGAAACGTTTCTCTGTGCAAGAGCTGGAAGAAATGAACCGAAAAAAAGGCCAGGCCGGGGTACCTGTGCTCAAGAAAGAACAGTTCTTGAACACGCCCCACGGCAAAGTGCTTGAGCAACTGCCTCCCCTGACCGTCAAGTCGATAGAGTCAGCCACGCCACCAGCCCCCTTCGAGCCACAACGCAGCAGCTCGGGGGCTGAGCAGTGCCTCAGTGGTATCCGAGTATTAGAGCTCTGCCGTGTTATTGCCGGTCCAACCATCGGCCGTTCCCTGGCGGCCCACGGCGCTTCTGTCCTCAAAGTGACCTCGCCAAATCTCCCCGACGTCCCCTTTTTCCAAGTGGACGTCAACACCGGGAAGCACGCCACCTCCCTGCACCTCAAAGATCCGGGGGATCGCGCAACTTTTGAGTCGCTTCTCGCCAGTGCCGACGTGATATTGGACGGCTATCGGCCAGGTGTCGTCGACCGCCTGGGCTACGGACCCGAAAAGCTGGCCGCCATCGCCGCAAGCCGCGGCAAGGGTTTCGTCTACGTCGCAGAGGACTGCTTCGGCGGATCAGAGTTGGGCGTGGCGAAGGCGGAGTGGGCGGGACGCCCGGGATGGCAACAGATCGCAGACTGCGTCACAGGCGTCGCTTGGGAACAGGGCCACTTTATGGGGCTGGACGCTCCCGTCGTGCCCCCCTTTCCCATGTCTGACTACGGCACCGGCGCCCTGGGCGCCGTGGGAGCCATGGCCGGCCTATACCGGCGGGCGACGGAGGGCGGCTCGTGGGTCTGTCGGACCAGCCTGTGCCAGTACGACATATTTCTCTTGTCGCTGGGCGCGTACCCGTCCGAAGTCCAGGCGCGCCTGCGTAAGACGCACAGCCCGGCTTTTTTCGACCTACGGCACCACGACTCCGTAGACGAGGTCGGTAAGCGGGCCCTGCGCAGCGTGAAGCATCTCCACCCGGAGCTTTTCGCAGAGGATCTGATGCACAGAGCATGGAGCCCCGGATTCGATGCCGAGGTGAGGTGGCCGAGGGAGGCCGTCAGGATCGGGGGGTTGCGGGTCGGGCATGATCGGGCATCGAGGCCCAACGGAGCCGACGCGCCCTCGTGGGAGCACTGGGAGGTGCAGGATGATATCGTCCGTGCATAATGGTTCACCAATGAGTAATGACGATTATACGGCCTGGTTTAGACGCAGAAGCGATGTTTGGGACATGGATGGAGATAGGCCATAAATGAAAGACACTCCGAGCCTAATTCTTCATTACCGTCTACCTACTCCAATGTGAGGGAATCCAAAAGTTGGCCGTCGAACACTCTCTGCCAACAAACCCGCTATACGAGCACCTGCTCGGAAGAGCTCGTCGGAGGAGGCGAGGCGGACCTGCCCGGGTGGCGTCGAATACCAGACGAACGGCTTTCGGGAAAGGGGCCACCATCGCTGCGTGGCATTTCTCCTGTCTCGATGCATCCCAACGGGATGAATTTCGAGAAAGTTGGTGGTTCCGACGTTAGCTGGGGAATCCAACCGATGCGTATCTCGTTCGAGGGCTATAGTCGGTCTTCTGTTCTGATTCTGTGTTGGTCGAAACATCTAATGCGTGGCGCCGTTCCTCCTCCTCCTCCTCGAGAAGAAGAAGATATGGTACTGGAGGGACGGCGATAGAACCAAAAGACTCCAAGCACCAGGTCGAGATCGGAGCCTGGTTCCTCTTCCTAACCGGGGCCCCAGAGGCGCCACAATCGGGCTCGCCCGCCGTCTGTCCGTCCTGGCGGCATGATGCAGGATCCGTTACCTTGCGACGCCTACACATGACGAAAAAAAAAACTTACCATTGATCGTCCGTGTACGGGACGGGGCCTTGAGGGGAGTACACGGCAGAGAGCAGGTCTCGCATAGCAGGGAGTCGACATGGGACGAGCAGTGAGTGGGTGCTGCTCCCTCCGGGCGTTCCGATCTCGTAAGAAGAAACGACTAAAATTTGGGGGTGTATATGACCTCTATTGTATCCGTCCACAACATACTACTAGTACATTTCCCGTGCGGAAGAACGAGCTTTCTCCCCCCGCTCCCTGCCGCGGCCTCTGAATCATCAGCTCTCTCTATATTACTTCGAATCTCTCCCACTCTCTCACGCAACGTCGAACACGATTCACAGGACGAGCCTGCCGGGCTCCCCCTCCAGGATCAGCTTGACCCTCTCCAGGAACACCTTGGCGCGCTTCTCGTCGCCCTTGGGTACCGTGAGTGTGAAGAGGTTGCCAGCGGACGAGATGCCGGGGGCTTGGCGGGGGGCGGCGGCCTTGGGTGCGGCGGCCTTCTTGGCGGGCGCGGCGAGGATGTCAATGATGTCGGAGGAGGATGACCGCGCGGCGGCGGGGCGGGGCGACAGGAGGGAAGCCTGGGGCAGGGCGGAGATCTGGGGCAGGTAGTGGCCGCGGGAGCCGCGGGGCGCAAGCTTGTCAAGGCCGAGGACCTGGTTGAAGAGCTCGTCGGCGGTGGGCTTGCGGGCAGAGGGGGGCAGGTCGTCGTTGGCGACCTCGGCGGCGCGGGCGACGAAGGTGGAGATGGGCATGAAGACGCCGAGGGTCGACTGGATGCGCTCCTGGGTGGCGAGGACCTTGGACAGGGAGACGGGGAGGGCAACCTGGGCGTTGGCAGGGGCGGCGGGGGCTTCTGCGGCGGCCTTGTTACCGGCGGCCTTCTCGGGCGCGGCCTTCTTGGGGGCGGCGACCTTGATGTTGGTGAGGTCGAGCTTGGACATCTCGACGGCGCGGGCCATGATCTTGCTCGGGGTCTCGGCGTTGATGGCACCCAGGTAGGCGAGGACGTCGCCCTTGAGCAGGCGGCCGTTGGGACCCGTGGGCTCGATCCTGCTGACGGTGTCCTTGTCGAGGCCGTGCTCATTGACGAGGGACTGGACGGAGGGGAGGAGGGGATATCTCTGCTCGCGGGCCTTGCCGCCCGAGGTCTTGGGGGCGCCGCCCTGCTGCTGGGCGCGGGCCTCGCCCTGGGGCGCCTCGCGGCGCTCGGCGGTGTCGCTCTTGGGGGCCTCCTTGTCGGCGGGCTTGCTGGAGGGGGCGGAGGCTTGCTCGTCGGCGGGGACCTCAAGGGAGGAAATATCGTCGCCGGTCTCGGCAAGGACGGCAATGCGGGTGCCGACCTGGACGGCCTTGGCACCGTCGCCGGTGAGGATCTTGAACATGACGCCGTCGTCCTGGGCCTCGACGTCCATGGTGGCCTTATCGGTCTCGATCTCGAGGAGCACGTCCCCGGCCGAGAAGGACTCGCCCTCCTTGACCTTCCAGCTGGCGATGTTGCCCTCCGTCATGGTCGGCGAGAGGGCGGGCATGGAGAAGTTCTGCGCGGCGAGGCATCGTGCTGAGGTCCGGAAGCCTGTTCGTCACCCAGTCGACGTGGTCAGCCCCGTGTCTTCTTGTCTTGTCTGTTTGCTGTGGGGTTCCAGGAAGAAGGGAAGGGAGGGAGGAGGGAATCTTCTCCTCCTCCTTACTCTTCCTTCTCTTATTCTATTGCACTTGCACGTTTTCTTTCTGGGAGGGTGATATCTACGGACCTCGAGCCGTGGACTCTGCGGGTATTCTCCGGCCAACAACCCTCGCAGAGAGACGAGCCGCCGTCGCAAGGGAAGCCATCTTGTCGTCGTTATTGTTTTTCTTTTCTCGTTTGGCGAAACCGTCGGCCCGGGGTGGGAAAGTATGAGCCTCAATTGAGTCTCGGTCGTCGGAGGGAAGGAGGGCGGAGGAGGGGCGAAGTCGGATGTCGTTTTCGTGATACCCTGTCGAAAAGGTTCGGAGGAAAAAGGGAGCAAGCAGCGCAGAGTGGGTTGAGGTTTCGGGCGTGGTCGGCGGAGGTTCGAATTGGCCTTCGCCTGCGCACCACCAAAGTCCGGGAATCTTTTTTTTTTTTTCGCAGCGTGGACCCAGCAGGGGGTGGGAAAATTGTCGAGCTCACCCCCAAAGCTCCCAGCAGTAACGCACGCCTTGTTGGGGGGGACCGGCCGTTGGCTGGCCCTGTGGCTTATCGCCGATTATTCGCACTGACGCACAGACCAAGAAAGGAAAAACGGACTGACAGATGCGCGGATTTTTGTTGGCTTCGCTGAGCGGCAGCCTCGTACCTGATTGGCCGGTTAGCTTTCCTCAATGCCCGTTACATTGGATGATGGCAACCGATACGTACCTATCTACTAGGTAAGGTACGTATCCAAGGTGGTTCCTCGTAAGGTCGCACAGGTCCTAATGATACTTTAATACAGTCGGATAAGCAGATTAACATACCTGCCTACGGTACCTCCGTAGAACTACCGGCTAAGCGCTGTATTGTTGCGCCGCCCTCCGAAACAAGCCCCCCCTGTCGCAGGTAGGACGTCGCATTTTCCGGTCGCAGGACCCTCCTCTCCCCGGCGCGCCGGGCGGGTGCTCCACTAAAACTTTTCGGATAGCTTCAGTTTCTAGTCTGACAAAGCGTCCGCGGCCCAATTGAAACCACAACCATCCGCCGCGAAGAGAGCACCCGGCTACTTCCTTCTTGTTCCTCTTGCGTGCATCCGAGCCGCATCCCGAAACTGCGATACCCCGACCATGGCCTCCTTCGCGAGAGGCCTCGGCCTGGGCCTCTCCCTCCTGGCCCCGAGAGCCGCCCCCCTCTGCGCGACACCGCAGCCCCTCCAGCCTTTCTCCCGACGCTTCTTCGGCTCCATCGCCGCCTTACGGCACGCCGCGAAACCTCCCTCCCCCTCTTCCCCCCGTATAGCCGCAAGCCTCCCTCGCGCCGCGACCGCCCCGAAGACCCTGACGCCGAAACCGAAACCGACCGCCCCGGGCCCGACGAGGACCGTCTCCCCCGCCGCCGCGGTGTCGTCCGCCGGCTCCGCCTACGCACTGACGGCGCAGCTCGCGCAGCGCAGCCAGCCGACGGTGCTGTACGAGGCCGGCTCGCACTTTTGGATGAAGCTCTCGGCCTGGGCCGCCATGCTCATGTTCTACTCGTACGCCGGCATCAACTACTACACCATGCTCCTCCACCCGCCCGAGGACATCGCCGCCTGGGTCCCGCATGCCTTCGCCGTCATCTGCCTCGCCATGGCCGGCTTCGGCTCTTACTTCTTCTACAACACCCGCAACATTGTCCGCCTCGTCCGCGCCGTGCCCACCGCCCTCCTCGCGCCAAACGCCCGCGGCCTGGCCTCCGGCGCCGCCGCCGTCGCGCTGAACCCCAAGACGACCCCGATCCACCTCGAGATCACCTGCAAGCGCATGCTGCCGGGCCGCGCCAAGGTCCTCGTCGTCCCGCCCCAACAGGTCTCGATGCCCGGCCGCATCATCGCGCAAACGGCGTCGTCGCACGCGTCGCCGGCGCAGGAGCGCGCCGCTGCCCGGCGGGAGCAGGCCCGCGCCCGCGCCGAGTGGGAGTACGACAAGGACCACCTCATGACAGTGCCGTTCCGCCACGCCGGCAAGGGCTTCCGGGCCGCGTGGTACGGCATCAGGAGGGCCGTCACCAGGGAGGGGTTCATGCAGATGGAGGTCGGCGGCCAGAAGCTCAAGCTCGATGTTGCGTCCGGGTGGGCGCTCGATGACGGGCGCGCCATCGACCGCCTGGTCAAGATCGGGGCTTGATATGCCCATTGAGAGGAGGCTGGTTCTCTCTCCGAGGAGTTAACGAGCCCCCGCGTCGTGTTTCCTCGGGCGGCGAATGTAAAACTACTGTATCATGGTCTTGGATGTCGACATAGATGTGCTCTCGAGCATAGTCGTAGAAAAGGCGAGGGGGCTACGCTCACCACACCACGAGCACCTGTAGCTTGTGGAAAGGGAGCAAGGGAGGGAGTCTCTTCACAACAGATGGGCCGTAGAGGGCCTCTTGTAGAGTATGGGTAGATTCACAGCCATCCAGATATCACAGACGAATATAAAATTGACAAGCACTCCTGTGTGTGGCCTTTCAAACGAGCCATGGTTGCGAGATATCGCGACAAAATCAAAGGGCTTTTCACAATCCTCAGCTCGGCGAACTGTGGAAGACAAGAGTTCCTCCCAGCCAGACAAACTTCGGGCAGTACGGTCGTAGTCACCCGTCAGAACGGAGCGAGTCCAACCAAGTCAGAAGCAAGCACTTACACATCAACAAAGTGCAGTCCTCAAGCTCGCCTCGACTGACACTACTCGATGAAAATCGAGACATATCCACGGTAGCCAGATAGATCTACAACGCATACAAACGTAAAGCGCAATCGAACATGACCCCGCTCCCCTCCCCGGGTGCCATCGACTCCATAAGCAGAGTCATCGACGGCATCGTCGATCCCCCACAGCCATCGGGGCCTTACCGAGCCTGGGGCCGACCGACTTGCCATTCGAGCGATGTAGCTCTGGAAACGCCCAGCCCCGTCTTCGTGTCCCGCTTCCAAGGCCGCAGAAGTGGTGAGAGAAAATATGGCAGGAGCGACTTGGACCACCTTAGCCAGCGAGGCGTGTGTGTACGCCAGCTAGCTAGCCAGCCCGCCCGTCCATACATCGTGGGAAGCTTCTCCTCGGACGCTTTCATCTCTTTCCCCATCCAGACCGGTCACGGGCGGATCCCTCCACAGCCGCAACAGGAGCTGCATCGCTTGATGATGAGACCTTGAACTGGACAAGCGCAGGGGCAAGGTCAGAGATACCGAGAAAGCACGGATCGGCCTGATGCCCCTGATCGGCTCCTGTCTTCGCGCGACCCCCTATCATCGGTCACAGTACTGTGCGGTGGAACCGACAACGCCAAGTTTGGCAGCCCGCGATGTCTCGCCTTGTCCTTGTCTGCCTATAATGGCGTGCGTCGAAGGGAGCGGCAAAGCCGAAAGTACAATTGACCAGTGCGCGCGCGGAGCCGACTCCGTCCCAGCCTCACTGGAAGCGGTGGAGGGGTAAGACCACGGCACTTCCCTGGTATCCCATGGACCCAGAGGATGGGATTTTATGGGAATGGACTAAGGGAAAGCAGGGAAGGAAGGCAAGTTCTGTTTGATACGTGGACGAAGCATCAACTAGCGATCTCACATACGAGTTTCTTCAGCGGGTGCGAATCGAGCAAAGGCCTACGGGATCGGTCATGGTAGTGATTAGAATCAAGGGCAGGGTGGAGAGGTAAGAGGGGAAGGAGGGAATAAGGTCCGAGAAAAAAAAAACAAGTTGGCTGGCCTAGTTGACCGCGCGTCCCACCTTGGCGGATGGAATACCCAGGTTGTTCTAGCTGAGAGAACGGTTGCTGGCGATCTGTAGCGGTCAGTCAGCCTCGAGTTTTACGGAGCGAGGCGGCGAGGCTATCCCTGCCTGCCAGAAGGCCACGTCGGAAAACCTTCAACGGGTGACGAACAAATAGGTATCTCCCACAGAGGGGTTGCAGGCGGCAAGGACGGAGGGACACCTGAAGAAAAATGCATGGCTTGCAAGTCTCCTGCAGCGCGGCGCGGCGCAGGAAGGGAAGTTCATCCTATCCCAGACAAGGAGCCGTTGATCGCCTCGTCTTGAGACGCAAGGGAGTGAGGGGCATAGATGCAAAGCGGAGGGGTTTGGCCTTTAGGTGAGGCCATTCCCAAAGAAACCAGCAAGCGGTTAGAAAACTTGGTTGAGGGGGGAAAAGGCGAACGCCGGGCGCTTGCTGAGCGGTGTGAGGTGAAGCGGCCCCTCACCCCTCACCGCGCGCGTGGGATTGGTTGTGTGTTGAGGAACAATCTTCTCTGAAGCAGACGAGGGAGAACAACGGTCGCCCGTGGCCTTTCCTTCAACCCCGCTACCGTCCTATTCTGGCATTCTTGGTCCACCCCGCCTTTTCCATATTGTGAACGATGCCGTCATCGCGCCTCGGTCGATTCGTCCGACAGCCGGGGGCTGGTCGCCAGACAATGAGTTTCGGCCGATGTTGACCCCACTGGATTGAGTGGGCCACACTCTACGGTACCTACTTTTGCGCCATGCTGGACTAGGTACACTATTTCGAAATTTGGTATCCGTAGCACAGGGCGGGTTCCGAAACTCCCCAAAGCAAGCAACGGGGCCAGCGATTGCAAAGGGGACGTGCAGACAGGACTCGATCGCCTTCTCCACCCTCCGAGATGGCGGCTCCGGGCACCGACATCAAAGGGACCCGTTGAGGCCGTCTGATCTGGCCGACCGTATGGCCGCTTCCTCCCGGTCGAGGGCAGATGGGACAAGACAGCGAAAGGTAGACCGGTGCAACCCGACGTATCTGTACCGGTACATTGTTCCTCTGTACCGCACACCCAGGAAGAGTGCCATGTGACTTGGTTTGGTTGCACCACCGTCGAGGCAGAGTCGTGCACACACAACGACGCGGTTCGCACTTGCGGTGTAGGAAATTGCGCGAGCGAGTACGATGAGGGGGGGAACCGGTTCCGCGAGTCTTCCTTCGACCCATCTTTCCAAAAGTGCCCGGCGCAGCCGTGCGGTTAAGCGTATACGGTATCTCGAGTACAAGGCGATGGATGCATCGACGAGCTTGCCCGCGAACCTCGACTGTAACATGACGGCGCCAGCGTAAACTTTCAGATAGACAATCAGCTCATAGTGGTCTAAAGGGCCAATCCGTAGTGTACGATACCCGCAGAAAAGAAGCAAAGAACATGGCTGCGACTGGGTTTGTTGACGTGCGAAAGCGGAGATGGGCGAGTAGCGCAAGACAAGGTCCAGGGTCCGACATGAACCCCTTAGGTATGTGGTGCAGAGCATCCGAGATGAAGCAGTGGGGGGGACCCAATCCGATTAGAGGCGGCCTTAGCAATACCGGTACTATGTAAGGATAAGAAACTGGGAAAGTCAGCATCGCAAGCATCGCATCAGATCCAGTGGGTGCGGGACTTAGATCTCGGCAGTGGCAGAAACGGCGCCTCCTCCAAAACACACCGTAACACTGGTATGTCACCGAATGCTGGACCGGCCCAATTGGACATGATCCTCTCAGTACAACGGTCGCGACAGCGTCTGTATGAGCGGAGAGCCCTGATCTACGCGTAGGCATCTCAAGGAGAGGCGGGGTTTCATCGGCGGCAGGGCTAGAGAGCCAGTACGTGCCGTCCGGCCGTCGAGTTCGCGAAGGCGGACGAAGGAGGACGAAGGTGGATGGAACGTGCTGGAGAAGGCGACGACGATTCAGAGCGCGTCTATTTGCGGGCGTATGTGCATGTGGGTGGTCTTGCGTACTCGGGTTGCGTGGTGCAGGTGCAGGCGGGAAGGGCGTTTGGTTGGCCGCCGCCAACTGACCTCGCCGACTCCCCCACGAGATCGAGGGGCAGCTCCAGGGTCCAGATGCCCCTCCTTTTGCTGTCTCGTTGCCGTTTGCTCGACATGAGCGAGCCGATAGCAGCACAGACCACCGGAGAGTACCTGCCTGTACGGATACGGATACATGGTACAATGCACCACACAGTCGACACCATCACCTTGATAGTATTCAACTACGTACCGTCGACCGCCCTCCAGTCCATCACAGCCGACAGTGATTTAGTGATAGCTCGACGAGCGGAACGGCTGATCCAGTGGTTGTTGTGCAGTCTCGCTTACATGGAGGGGAGAGACCAAAAAAAAAAAGAAGAAAAAAAGTGTACAAGCCTGCAGGAGACGAAAAAAAAGAAAAGATTTTCTCTCCACGAGCGGTGAGCATTGAACAGGCGTATCGCTCCCCAGCCCGATAACCCCTGTCGAGCGAAGCAGCCACTGAGACGACAAAACGTCCAACATTCCGCATTCCCCATGACCCCAGAGTGGCATGTGCCTCCTATTGCCCAAGATTCCAGCTCTCGGTAGATGGCAGTTCTCTTGGAGATCTTCAGGGTTCAAGCAGCCTTGTTCTTCTTCCTTTGCCCCCCCCCCCCCCCCCCCCCTTTGGAAATCCCACCCTAAACTATGTAGCGCGAGCGTCAGTGACGCCGTCGTCCAACTTTCCCGTCTCTTTGCCAGAACGGGGGGCATGGATAGGAGTAGGGTGTACGGTGTAGCTCACGCAACAACAAACAGAGGGTCGCCCGGATACTGGATCTTCATTGCGCCGACCCAACGACCGGCGATAATTCCATTCCGTTGTCGTCCGTCATCCGGGCACCACCCCCCGACTGACCGACAGATTCGTATCGCCCATTGTCAGCTTCAGCAGGAGCAGACGGTCTGCTCCTGCAGCGGCTACGAGCAACGTTGGTCGCAGAGGCGCAGTAGTGCTGGCCGGCGTCGACGGTAGGTACCTACCTAGGTAGGTAGGTAGGTAGGCATGTACAAAGATAGTCCAGACCATCATGCTTTGTTATGCAACCACGGCCTGCCGGCGTCCGCAGAGTTCGTCCCAACGACGACATATCACGTTTCTGGTTGGCATGCTAGAAATTCTAGTGACATGTCGTTCGCGCGCTTGTCGATGCTTACCCCATCCGCTACTTCTGACTCGTCGGGATTCCCATGGCAGTCGATATGCCGAGTCGCAAGTCTCGCTACTGCAGCACTCGGTCGCTCACGGGAAGCCTACCTAAGCCACCTAGTACGTCCTGATCCGGCGAGATCGACGGATGCTCGGCCGCCACCGCTCGCTCGCTCGATTGCTTGACCATGAAGGCATTAGAAGAAGACGACTCACGTTCAAACGTGAATCGCACAGCTGGCTGATCGCGCCCTGCCAGCGAGTCAGCCGCCGCCCCAGTCTCTCCTCCGGACCTCCAGCCTCGCATGTCCGCCATCTCATTGGTGTGCCCGTCGTTGCACGCACCGAGCCAAGTAGGGGGCCACATGCGCGCAGGAGCGCCACTCCTCACTGGTAGAGGGCCTTGGCGTCCGAACTGGCTCGGAACCGCTGCGAGCTCGGTGGTCGGCCGTCGTCGTCAACCGCCTCTAGGATTCCCATTGTTTCTGCCAGCTTGGTCCAGCAACAAGACGTACCATCTCTCTCTCTATACATCTTGTCTCGCATGGGTGATTATTTTGCCATCGGGGTCTGGCCTCGGGTGGCCCTTGTGGAAGCTAAATGCAGAGAAGTGCCTGAATGTCAAATGATTCCTGCGCCTGCAGGTCAGGTCAGGTCAGGTCAGGCCGCGCGACCGTGAATGCCGCATGCGCAGGCGGCCTAGTCGGGTCTGGCGCCTTGTCTCACTGTCGGGGGGTGGGCGGTTGTCGAATGAGGAAACGGCATCTGCCAACCCGCACCCTCCATCACACCCTTAGACCCCGAGATACTACCACCTGCATCCTCCACCGCCTCCTGGCGAAACAAATACCCCCCGGAGAAGAGCCATGCCTGAGACGAGCCTCAAGTGCCTGATGATCGCCTCTCCCGTACCTGGGTCAGCGCAACGTCTGCAACACCCGAGATTCCGGGGCTGAGTCGCTACTCTTGCGATTACGCCTTCCGACCTCGCCCGCTCCCCCATCTCCGTCCAACACGTCCTAAGAGGACATGACCGTCAGACGAACCGTCTTTCGTGTGCCACGGCGGGCAAGAGAGAGGAGGAGGAGGAGGAGGAGGAGGAGGAGGGGTATGGGGCCGTGAACCGACTCGTCGTCGCTGCGTCGCGGCCATGGTCCAACGGCGCGCACATGATGAATGCTCGAGTCCAGCTCCCGCGCACGGAGACATGGCGTCCAAGCTGACCTACCCAGGCGACTTGCTGCGACGGGGGAGGTTTGCATGCGTCTGGCAACCACTACACGAGACACGGCATCGCGATCGCGATTCATTCTCGTCGTTGCCGTTCAGACGTTTGCCTCACATTTCAACCTGGATCTAGGCCATTCCTCACGAACCTTCGGAGGAGCGGTGAGGGGCACACGGCGACACGAAGACGCACACTAGGTGCCGGTGTAAATGAAAAGTGAGAAAGGCTCATCTTGCACGATGATAGGTAGCATACCACGGCACAGAGCGTGTAGGTTGAGGGGAAGAAGCGCCGAGATCAAGCGAAGCCTGTAGGGCAGAGGGCCATAGGACTGTCGGAGATGGGGTGGAAGGTCGTCGCCAATTCGCCGCCGCCCATGGCGGATGCACAGTAGTAGCTTTCAGGTGTAGTGTACCCGTACCCGCGCAACAGTCCAAGTTGACATGGTACCGTTTTGTAGCGTCTACCTCGGAGAGACGTCTCTAGACTCACGCACCGCGGTGCTGCAACCACCCGCGCGAGATGGGCCGGCCGTGCACTCCCGTTGGCTGACCGACGTCTGCGGCCACAAGGGAGGACGATGCTAACTGGGAGGCCAATCAAAAGTTGCAGAGAAACAGGTGTAGCCTACCTCAGTATACGGTACTTACCTAGGTCTAGGTACAGAGGGCCTGTCTCTTGACCGATGCATCGCCGCGGCTCCCTAAGAGAAAGAACATTTCCTGATGGAAGACATACGCCCCTGAAGATCGGCATCTCTGTGGAAGACTATAGGCATAGGAGCTCGTTTCAAGTGTCACTCGTGTCTATTAGAGACGCAGAGTATCTATGCTAATTTACCCCGGGCATTCTAGCTCTCCAACTTCCACTCTTCCCGCCCTTTTTTTCTTTTCTCCTAGCATGTAGGCGTTCACCCTCGCGCGGACTTGTGTGCCTGGGAGAAGCTTTCCCAAAGAGACCAGCGAGGCGACGGATTACCTACAGGAATGCGGGGAAGACGTGGCTATACTCAGTAAAGCGAAAGCGGCACATGGATGCTGCTCCGCACTGACGGATGCGGGCGGTGGCCGGGTGAGAGAGAGTCGCAGATGCGGGTTAACCGCCCCGGCTCCCAGGAGTCACAGGCAGGCGCTGGGTGCATTCGATACGTCAAGGGGACTGTCGCGAATCTCAGGATGCAGCTATTCGCAAAGTGAGGCGGCGGCAACGGCGCTTGACCGATGGATCTCTCCCCCTTCCCGCGATGCGTAGATTCCACAATGATGAATGCCCAGCGGAGGGGGTTATGCAACGGCGCGTCAGTAAAGTATCCCGGCCCGTCGGAGACCAACGACAGCAAAGCGAAACAGAAGAGCATGCTGCATGATGATGACGACGAGGAGGATGAGGAGTGAGAGCGAGAGAGAGAGAGAGAGAGCAAGGTAAAGCGTGGTCGTGGACATGTGGGGAAACAGGCCCAACGTATGGGCGGTCTACGTTACCTGGAGATGACCAGGGTGTTGAGAGGTACCGGTAGTGTGTACTGTATGTAGTGTGGTGTTAGCTGCACGAATATGTTCCACGCGCGTCTGTCACCATCCAAGTGCCATTTTCCCACGGGAACGGGCGACGTGATTGATGCGTCGATGCACAGCGCAGCGCAGTAGAGGGGTGAAGAGGCGGGAGGGGCTCTTGATGACGGTGGTGAGCGTGAACAAGGTATGGCCTAGAATGGGAATAGGCGTTGGGACAAGGATGAGATGCCATCCACAATCTTTGTCTTGTCTCCAAGATGGTGTCGAGACGAAAGAGAAGCAAGGGAAAAAAAAAAAAAAACCACTGCTAGTAAAGTGTGAAGTGTGGGGGTTGAAGAAGCCCGTGAGCTGGGGAGGGTCGCCCGGCTGGTCTGCAGGGATGATGGTGAAGAGTATCGCTGCGGTCCCAATCAGAAGGCATCGCAGGCCACGGGCTAGTGGAGATATGACATAATTGTTGCCAATTGCGCGCGTCCTGGGATGCAGCTTGCTCTCCCCCCCTGCCGGATGAGACTCTATACTGACGGGAAAACGCTGTTCGACGCCCAGTTCTGCCGTCGCTGGATCCAGTATTCTTCCGCTGTGTATGTGTGTGTATGTGTGTGATGCGTCGACTCGTTGCATGCATGCGGCAGAAGGCGGGAGAAAACAAGGTGAGATGGATGGATGGATGGAGGAGGAGGAGGGGGGAGCATTTGCGAGCTTGTCGTCGGTACAAGCATACAACCTGCGACAGTATAGTACAATGGAAAGGGAGGGGGGAGGGGGCATCAACGAGGCCACGATCCATCTAACCGGCGCCATAATTGGTTGCAAGCCAGTGCCGTAGGAGAAGAGCCGAAAAAGGATCGGCGGGCGGAAACCAGCGGGGAAACGACAACTAAAGTCTGTGGCTTCTGCAACGGACGCGAGGTGAAGGAGGAGGAGGAAAGGGCAGATCTCTCGAGTTCAGCGCAGGCCGGAACAGATGATGAGCGCGGCTATCAAACGAGCGATCGGCAGCGCTGCTAGCGCCCCAAACACAGATTACCGACCTGGAGGATGAGAGACATGAGAGACATAGGCTGCGGCGCGCGCCCGTCACGTCGTCGGGCGGCCGTTCTTGGAATAGCAGCTGCCGTCATGGCCTCCAAGTCGAGTCCGAAGGGGACGTCGGGATTTGAGACTGGCCTCGCGGAGGGGGTCCGTTGCAGAGATAACGGCGATGCCGGGCGTAGCGTTGTGGCTGGGCGGGCTGGGTTGTTTCTAAAGATGCTACTATTTTGGACCGGCCAAGTTTGGGGTTTGAGGCGCCATGTCTATCTGAAATGGATCGACGTGGGGAATGTTTCTCAGCCCTTTCTCTTTCTACTTTCTCTCTCTCAGTCTTTCTCCGTTCCCTTGCCCCGGGTTTCATGTAGCTGGTTGCTAAATGCGTACTCGCGGTGGCAAACATTCAGGCTATGTGTTTGACACTCGTGCACTCGGAACCCGGAGAAGCGGATAGATGGACGGCAAGGCGGCAACATTTTAAAGTTGATTCCAAGTGGCCGCAGCGTCGTAGCCGTCTACCTATTCCCATACATGACCACTATCTGTGTCGGCGCGTGAGACTTGGTTGACGTCAAGGCAATCAACGACTTGACGTGCGCAGAAGGAGAGCTGATGGGGCTCATATACCTGATGTTGAACGGTAAGCGGCGATTGTCACGGAGAGAACGAAAGTCAAGGGTGCATGACGGGTGAGTAGGGACCCCCCTTTTTCTCTCTACTGTTGCGACGTGCTATAGTGTCTCTCCTATACGGTACCCCATTCCAATTATCAGCGATACCAAGCGATAGCAGCGATAGCAGCGGTCAAATATGGCTTTCATGGGGATGCATTGTCGATAATCGGAGAAACTCCAGAGCCAGACGGGGGGGGACTGGCAGTAATTGACAGAAACGGACAGGGTCCAACGCTCCTTCTGGCAAGTGCTGGCCGGCGATTCCACGACTTCCCTGCGCAAAGGTCGTCTGGCGATGCCAAAACTGACGAGCGCCCGCGCACGGACATAGCAACCATCCCGGCCGCTGAGGTTTCCTTGCGCAGGGTGAGATGCAGATTTTCCTCATCCATCTCCCTTGTGTACCAGCTACCACTATCCGTACATGGTATACGTATGGGGAATACCACGTACACTAGTACTGTACCACCGCTAAGCGAAAGGGAAGGGGGGGAAAGTTGGAGGGTCCTCTGGTGGGGGGGGGGTGGGTGGCTTGCAGGGTGCAAATTTGCCCGGGGTCCCTTAGCGCAAGACATGGGATGACCGTGCTGAGATGGAGGGGCCTAGAGTGGACCGGCAGGCAGAATAGACGAGGGAAAGACGAAATTGACCTTCTCCGCCACGATCCAATGTCGTCGTGACAATCCATGCGCATTATTGGACGTTCTGAGCCGCTGCAATCTTACCGCGCTTTGCTTTTGCCGTCGCCCACTGCGCACTATTGAACTGAATCGGCCGACCGACAATGTCAATATCAACACCGGCACGGAGCGCAACGAATATGCGATGCGGCGCACGACGCGCAGCCCAAGCAACCTCGTTGCGCGATGTCGCGTCTGAGTCGGAGAGGGGCCTCAACAACACACACAAACACTGCGCGATGTTGGAATGGCATCATGCTACAGCGGATCGCATTGCCGACGTGGAGCTGGGCCATTAGACAGCATATCAACCATCGCGATGGGCAACAGCATTGCGGTAATGTCATGCGCATGACGAGCCGACGGCGATGGTCGCTGGAATGCGTTATCAACGGCCCGTTGTCTTGTTGGCCCTGCCCTTTCCTGGCAGATGGATGGTGGTCGTGCCAGGCATGTTGCCAAAGGTAAACTACCTAGATGTCGGCGGTGCAAGGGCGGCGAAGCCGTCAACAAAAACAATAATTTTTCCCCCCCGTCCAAAGTAAACAAGAGGAACAACAAGTGCGCTACTACGTACACTGCAGAAAATGGAATAGTTTACCACGGCAATGGGCGGTTGGACTGGCTCGCCGGCTCACTGGCTGTCCGAGATCCTTGATGCTAGTTCGCATGAATGAAATGAGGTGGAAATGCGCACCAGCCGGTCCCGAGGCCGACCTTTGCTCGACGTTGTGGACGGTGCGCTGCCCGCGCAGCTTGCTCGCATTCGCCCGGCCATCCCAATGCGCTGGATCCGGACCGAGTCGCAATGATGTGATTGTCTCGTGTGCTAGGAATGCGACAGCTACAGAATCCGGAGAGTCTGTGTGCGCCCCGGGCTGGTAAGATAGGTAATGTTGGTGACTCGACGAATTCCGGGGAGAAGGCGACGTACGGAATGAACAAAGACTAGGCAGCAGCCAAGTGAGACTCGCCGATCGACTGTGGAAACGAGGCCGAAGATGCCATGTCGTTCGGGGGCATAGACATGTCTCTTTGATTCTTTTCCCCCCCTCGTCGTCTGTCTGTACAATACTTCGTACCTTCTGCTGGTGCTGCTTGCTGGTCGCTTGTCATACGTTTGGAGCCAAGCGCAAGCCCCATCCGTAAGCCAGGATCACTGGTCGGTCGAACCCCTCCTTGCACCCCCCCAAGGAACTCCGAAATCTCGGCGACAAACGGGTGACTAGGTGGCCTTGGCATGTATAGAGTACCGTACCGTCGACTTTTCCCACTGGCCGCTCGTCGGCCGCCAGTCTTAGTGACCACCAACTAGCGAGTGGTGACGGACGGATTGCAGCGAACAATCGTGTGTTTTCGCAAATGTTCCATTCCTTCTCATGGCGGCGCGTGTCATCTGACTGTCCTATGCCTTACGCCCGCTCGATGTCGCCACGGTCACCAATGGCGAGACAAGCAACGGCGGAGGTGGCGGCGGAGGTGGCGGCGGAGGAAGGGGTTCTGGTCGATGGCTGTTTTGACTCAATCAACGTTGCTGCCACGGAAAATTGAATACAACGAAGGTGGGATTGCTGTTAGGGGCTGATGGGCCGGGTCGGCCGTGCGCCGGAGGGCTCGACGGATTGAACGCTCCCAGGTAGTATAGTCCATCTGTTTAAAGCCAGTACCGAGACGTATCTACGGTGCCAAGGTTCCAAATACCCACAGCCGGCATACGGGACATACGTGCATGTCATCTTGAGGGGTGTCGTAACTCTGGGAAATACTACCTATCTAGGGGAGAAGGGGAAAGAGAACGGGGCTCTCACGGTGGGTTGGACATGGAGATGGCGGCATTCAATCATGGCCGAGTCGAGACCGGGAAAGTCGAGTCGTGGCCATCGTCGGTTCTCGAGGAACTGCATGCAGTACGAATGCGGATAGGCGGCAAAGGGGGGGGGGGGGGGGGTCGATTAGTGTACCTAGACAGAGAGAGAGAGAGAGAGAGTGAACACGAAGGAGAAAAAATTGACAAGGACAGGAGGAGACCAGGGTCAAAGATCAAACGAAATCAGCCATCAAATGGTCAAATACACCCTGTCGCCGCATGCTGCGCTTGCGATGCACGTCTTCAAATCAATGGTGCAAGTCAAACAGGCGTGCAGCAGAAGCGGCAAGGGAAAAAAAAAATTTGTGATGAAGACTGCCAAATAGGAAGAGGCAAAACAGAAACACACGGAGTCTGCAAGTGCAGGTGCAGGTGCAGGAAGACAAGCACCTCACATGCAGACCGCTCTCGCCGGCCATTATTGGCTGATTGTTAACGAGGCGAGTCACGATGAGGATGGGCATGAAGGAAGGAGGGAGGGGGCAGGAAAGGTTGGCAGGAAGGAGGCAGAAGGCGGGAGTAACTAAACATCGTGAGTTCCCCCTTCTTTCCCTGCCTCACCAGCGCCAGTCGAGGGTTCGGATAGGAAGAAAGACAAAAAAAAAAAAAAAGTAGGAATCACCCCCCCAGCCCAGTTGCAGTCGAAATGGAAAGGTCCATCTCGCATATTCCTTAGATGGCCCGTGGCTCTTTCCCTCATGTACCTAGTACTTTGCACGTCCAACCCACCAACTACTCTCGCTATGCTTTGAGCAAATGACCCGCCGCACAGAAGGCAGGGATGACCCCAGTTGCTTAATCGCTCTGTGTATCCTCTCTGCGCCAGTGTCTGTCGACCCTTCAAGAGCGGCGGACAAGCACTTTTTCTTTATCCTATTGCCTGCCGTTACTGACAGCCAAAGGCTCCTCTCTTGCCCGGCCTAGAGCACCTGTCGCTTAATTCCATCACTGCTGCCGCTGGCGAACCTTCCTTGGCGCTTCTTGGAAGAAGCGTGCAGGGTC